CGGAGACCGGGCCTCGGCCGCCCGGGAGCTGCGGGTGGGCGGTTGCAGATGTGGAGCTGCACATCTGGGGAGAGAGCGCTGGCCACAGCGGTGAGAGAGCCGGGAAGTGTGTGGGGGGAGCTGGGTCCCACTGGAGCATCCATCCTGCCCTGGAACAGCCATTCCACCCCGGAGCATCCCTCCTGCCCTGGAACATCCCCCCATCTCGCCCCAGAGCATCCATCCCACCCTGGAGCATCCCTCCTGCTCCAGAGCATCCATCCCTCCTGCCCCCAGCTTCTGCTGCTGCCACCCCGCACCCCTGCGGGTCTCTTGGTGTCTTTCTGAGGCCAAACCCCGAGCGTTTGGGTCATTCCCAGGGGCCCCCCTCCAAGGGCCACCCCCCCACGCCGGGGACGCCCCGCTGGGGGGTGCAGCCCCCGTCCTGCGAGGGGGCCGAGCTCCGCGGGGCCGGGCTGGGGCGGCCGCAGGGCAGCAGGGTGGTGGGTCCCATGGCCCCACGCGCCCCGACACCGGTGGGAGCCCCTGGGAGCGGGTCGGAGGGGCCGGCACTGCTGGGCTGCGAGGCCACGCTCAGTCCCGGTCCATGTCGTGGCTCCGGCGATGTCCCGGCTCACGTGGGTGGCACGAGGTGGCCAAGCATGGCTGCAAGGGAAGGCGAGGGTGGGCACGCCGGGGCAGGGGGTCCCTGCCCTCCTTGGCCCCGCTCCCCCTGCCCGTCCCAGCGAGACGGGGGGCCAGGGCATCCCAGGACCTACTGTGCTTAGGAATAGGCCAGTCCCTGGAGCGGCCGCGCAGGCGCGTGGAACTTGTCCGAGTCCTCGAAAGCTGGGTCTGGGCAGCGGGAGGGAGGCACAGAGAGAGGGTGAGCCGAGGCAGGGGGAGCGGTGGGCACAGGGGGACAGGGACAAGGGTGGCATGGTGCACCCGTCCTGCCGTGCAGCCCCAGCCATGCCCCGGGTGCGGGGAGGAGGCCTGGAGTCAGGCAGGAGTGCAGGCAGGAGAGCACAGGCAGCTTGCAGGAAGGGATCTGCGAGGCTGCAGGCAAGCGCCCTGCTTGGGCAGGGTGCAGGCAGCAGGGTGGGCACGGTGCTGCCGGGACCCCTGTCCTCGGGGCGAGGGGGATCCAGGGTGGGCAGGGAGCCGCGGGCAGCGCGGGCAGGTGAGGGCAGCCCTGCCCGCACTGGGCTCACCTTGCAGGCTGCTGCTGCTGGTGCTGGCGCAGGCGGGCGGCGGGGAGGTCTGCGGCCGCACCACGGGGGCGAAGGCGCTTTTCTGCTTCACCGCCGAGATCATATTGACGGGGGAGAAGGAGAAGACCCCGGTGGGGGTGGAGGCGTTGGTGCCCGACGGCAGGGTGATGGAGGAGGCGCCGAGCGGGGGGCTGGCGGGCATGACTGTGGGGAGAGACCCATCAGGCCGGGCAGAACAGGGGACAGGGCATCGCTCCCTGTGTGGGATACCAGCACGCCCCGGTGACACCGCATGGGACCCAGCTTGCGAGGGCCAGGGCTGGGGCCGGGGCTGTCTCAGCTCAGGTTGCTGTGTTTCTGCTCCCCCTTGCCCTCGCAGCCAGCTTCAGGGATGCCCTGGGGCTGGTGCATGGCTTTGGGGACACCTTGGGGCTGGTGCATGGCTTTGGGGACACCTTGGGGCTGGTGCACGGCTTTGGGGATGCCCTGGGGCTGGTGCACGGCTTTGGGGACGCCCTGGGGTACCGACTCACTGGCGTAGGGGGAGTTGGCGGTGGAGCCGTTGAGGAAGCTGGGGGAACCGGGCACCCCCAGGCCGGCCATGGTGCCGCCGCCATAGCCGTTGATGCCGGTGGCGCCGCTGTAGCTGCTCTGCTGTGGCGTGGAGCTGGGCACGTAGCCCCGTGGCGAGACGCTGCCCGTGTTTCGGGAGTAGCCTGCAGGCGAGAGGGGCCGGGGGTGGCACGGGGCGGGCAGGGACCCCCTCCCACTGCCCGGCGCGGCCCCTGGCCCACCTTGTTCGGTGCCCTGCGGCGAGTCGCCGATGTTGACGGCCAGCTGGCTGCTGAAGGAGTTCACCCCCATCATGCTGGCGGGGCCGTGGGTGCCGGCCAGCGAGGAGAGCTGGCCGGGGTTGCGGGGGACGCTGTAGAGTGCCTCAGCGATGTCTGCCGCTCGCTTCAGGATGATGTCCTGGGAGGGAGGGGGACACGGGGATAGTGTCACCCCACGGGAGCCCAGAGTGACCCCACGGCTGTGCTGGGTAGCGATGGGGCAGGGGAGACCGAGACCCCCCAGCTCGCGCCGCTGGCCGGGAAGGACGTGGGAACAAAGGCGGCTTTGGCGGCGCCAGCCCTGCGGCCTGACCCGGCGGCTCCCCTTCCCCTGCAGGTGGGGGGCTCGGGGGGCCCGCAGCGCTGACTCAGCGCCCTAGGAATCCTGATGTGAAGCAGATGTGGGGCCGGGAGCCCGCGGCCGGCTCCTGCG